ATTTCGGGTCCAATTATACTGTTAATTTCTGGAACAAATTCTTTGTAAGAAATTTCACCGGATGATTTTACTGGAACAACTGGAACCTTATATGAAGCTCCTTGCACGGTTCTTAATTCGGCAATTGTGTCAATTGATCTTATGTACTCAGGTCCAAATAAACGTGAACTACCAGGATAATGGTATCTAACAATGTCATAATTATTTTTCTTCAATAAAACCTTTGGTACTAATCCCCTTATGTCAGTTAACAGATGTATATTTCGTTTCATGTTCATTAATAAGGTTTTCAGTGATAATATAAAATTTTTAGCTTGTGATATAGTTTTAAACATTAATTCAAAATTTTTAACCAGTTTTCCTAACATTTTAAAACTAAAGCGGCCCATTGAGTGAAGTAATTCAAATCCAGGATCTAGTGTTCGAAGGGAGGCTATTGTTAAACCTTTAAAGAATTCTTTAGTTAAAATTTGTTTTGCGATTGTAATAACAGAATCTTTTGCAATTGCCTTTAACGCTGCAGTTAATGACATTTTGGTCACAATTCCGGCTGACTTTGCAACAGCGTTTGTAATAAAAATATTCTTAATAATTGAACCTCCGACACCGTTGACTATCTTAAATGAATTTGATACAAAGAAACCTACAACTGGAAGAAAACTTAAAATATCCAGGCTACAACTTAACGTGGCTCCACTTATGTCACCTGCTATTGAACTTTCAATACAATTGTATAATGGGATAAAAATTTTCACGATATTTGAAATTTTTTCATCAAGAACTTCCTCATTATATACTTCTGTCATGTTTGTTATAAACGCCTTTGTCTTCATATTGGCAATTCTTTCAACAAAAAATTTATAATTTTCATTTTTATATTTATACGGTGACAGTTCAAAAAAATACTCTTTATCTGATTTGAGCAGTTTTAAATATTTAGGATCGATAATAGCGCTAAGAAATTCTTTTTCATTTCCATTTCTTGTAATTAATGTCAATTCATCTTTCACTTGTCTAATAGCGTAGTATTCTTTTTTTTTGTTTTCAATTATTGCAAATATTACATGTATGTCTTCGTTTATTTTTATGTCGATACCACACTCTGATTTGGTACAAGGCATGGGAAGTATTGGTTTTGCAGAATTCACTGTAACATTTGGATTCATTTTTTCTAATAAACCACCGTCGATTAAGACTTTCGAAATTAAATTTCTTATCATTTCTTTGTACAGTTTTTCTAGTTTTGGAAATTGCTTAAAAAATACATTATTTAAATCTGGAAAATGACTTGTTTTGCAATCCCGCTGGAGCATAGATTTTAGTGTCCAAAGGTACACGGTTTTATACAAGTACACATATCCTTCTATATAGACACGATACCATGACGAATCACCATGGACAGAAGGATAACAATAAAGAAGAAGTATTTCGCGGGCAATCATCGTCCGAGTTTTGGTATTATTGATTTGCCTTTCCAGTTTGTAAGGCAAACTATTCTCAATTTCTTTACTTACAATTTCATTCATTTTGATATCAATTTCGGTAAATAAAATTTTATAAGCTTCTCTCCAAAATTCATCATTTAAATTAATTTTATTTATTCCTTTGCCTTTAGAGGCATAAAAAAATAAAGCTGCAGTTGAGTAATACGATAATACAATTTTATAGGTTTCATTATCGATATGCTGCAAATCAAGTTCTCGCGAGATTAAAATATATTCCGAGAACGAAAGATTTGGTTCATCCAATGACGTGGACCTGAGGATATTTAAACCTACCATTGAATAAATGTATTTAACGTCCATTATGCTCATGTCTTCTTCGGGTTGGGGAAAAATTGACCAAATGTATTCGTCGAAAATTTTTTTAATTGTCAATTGAGGTAATGTTGATGTGTAATTTTTTTGCGAACAGTATTCCCAATTGAAGTGATGTTGCAAGAGATGATTATACACGGCTTTCTTAAAAATTGAGTAATTTAAATTATCTGAATTCTGAATCATTTCAGCCAAATACAAATTAATGTTGCTATAGTTGGGAAACAGTACGCCATTAATGATGTACTTAAATGTTTCGTTTACATATTTCATGTCAAGTTTTTCATCTTCTTCACCACCATAGAGATCAGTTCCTTTTAGTAATGCTCTTAGAATGTAACTTTTCAGGCGGGTTTCATTTTTCGATTTCGTTAGACGCTCAATTAAAGTGCGGACAACAATGTCAGATTGACTTTGCTGCTCAAATGTAATATAATTTTTATTATGAAAAAAAATACCCAGAAGATTAATGTAGTGACAAACGGAAAGAAATTGAAAGTTCTGTGACTGCTCAACAATGATTGTTGTGTTGTTCATTGTGTTGATCCTGAAACAAATTAACGTGTTAGGTAAATGTTATGTGGATTTGCTAATTTAAATTGTTTGTAAAATGTAATCTTTGATCCATGTAATTTTTTTTCGTTCCGAAAAATCTGTGTTTTGAATCAGTTTTTACTATTTTACATTCGCTTAGTAGCAAAAAGAACACATTTTGATCAAAATTGTTACTTTGTGAAACTTTGCATTAAAAAAATAATCATAAATAAATAATAATGTAATAATAATAATTTATAATTAAAGTTTTTTTATATCTGATTTATGGTTAGACATAAAATTAAATGCAATTTAATAAATTAATACTATACCCCAATTTAACTACAACAATTTTTTAAATCCTAAAAAAACTAACATTTTAAAAAGAATTTAATAAATGTTAAAAATTTTAAAGCAATAAAGAGGTACGTGTAAAAAATTTATTCCTTGAAATAAATTCGTTTGTCCAACAATAATAAAAAATTATCATTTAACAACTTTGAATATAAAAAAATTAATAAAGTTTAGTTTGTTAAACGGGACGCATGAAAAAGTTCTAAATCAAATTTTTTACAATTATTATTATTTGAAAGAATCTTATTCTGTAGAATATTAATTTGGCAGAATATTAAATTGTTTAAATATTAATTTTGCAGAATTTTCATTAAACCGATTATCAGTGTTGCAGAAATTTTATTTAGACCAAAATTAATTTGCCATAAATTAAATTTGATCAAATCTTAATTTAAGGGAAACATTGTCTTGTAGAATAGTAATTGAAAAGAATTTTAATTGTCCAGAAAGAATATTAATTTAATTTTTGGCAAATTAATTTTGTTCGAATTAAAATTTCTACCAACATTGAAAATCTGTTTAATACAAATTCTGCAAAAATAATAATTAAACATTTTAATATTCTACAAAAGTAATATTGCATAAAATAAGATTCTATCAAATGATAAATCTAAAAAATTTGTTTTACAACTTTTGCATTCGTCCCGTTTATCAAACTAAATTTTATTAATTTTTTTATACTCAGAGTTGTTGAATGATAATTTTTTATTATTGTTCGGCAAACTGATAATTTTTCAAGGATTCAACTTTTTACACGTGCCTCTTTATTGCTTTAAAATTTTTAACATTAAATTTTATTAAAAATATTATTTTTTTTTGGATTAAAAAATTTGTTATATAGTAATATGCATAGAATTTTTTCAAAATAACTACTTATACTTTTACAAAAATTTTAAGCCTAATCCGATCGGGGGCAAACTTGGTAATAAGAGTATCAAATTTTTATTTTCAAGCTATTTTGAAGCATATAACTTGGTGAGCGAATTTACCTGCAATAAGCGAAATAACCCCGTCTTACGAGAATAATAACAGGATATAATAATATATATAATAATGATAATAATTTTATAATTATGATATCCTGGATTTCAATGATAAAAATAATGAATATTATCTTACCTAATGTGATCTCAATAATATTGAAACCCCAATATCACCAACACTTGTAGAAAACAAAAGTCAAAATATATTTTCGAATAGTGTAGACTATTACAAATTATATTGTAAAAGAATTTTCAAAAAAAATTTCAAATTAAAATAGTTATTAACAATTGAAATTTTTTGTACAATACTTTTTAAACATTCGTAGTCTCTAGAGGTTATATCAGAAATGAATGACAATACCTATATTTTACCTACAAATATGTCGAATTTTAAGTATCATAGATTAAGAAAAAAATAAATTTTTATGAGAAAAGCTATATTATCTATTATTACTTTTTTTATAACTACACGGAAAAATAAATTACACGGTGCAACAAAATTTTTATTTCCGGGACCGCATAGACGAATTCGTTATCAGAATTATTAAAACACCTAAGGTTTTGGAAAACACCTTAAAAATTGAAAAAATGCCGTTTTTAGAGTACTTTTTTATATTAATATTCTATTATAATCTTCTTTCTGGAAAATTAAAATTCTTTTAAATTACTATTCTTCAAAATTAATATTTTACAAACACAGTGTTTCTCACAAATTAAAATTTGATCAAATTTAATTTCTGTCAAATTAATTTTCATCTAAATAAAATTTCTGTAACATTAATAATCAGTTTAATGAAAATTCTGCAAAATTAATATTTAAACAATTTAATATTCTAAAAAAGTAATATTCTACAGAATAAGATTCTATTAAATGATAATAATTCTAAAAAATTTGTTTTAAAACTTTTTCATGCCTTCCCGTTTATCAAACTAAATTTTATTAATTTTTTTATATTCACAGTTGTTGAATGATAATTTTTTATTATTGTTTGACAAACTGATATTTTTTCAGGGATTCAATTTTTTGCACGAACCTTTTTATTGCTTTAAAATTTGAAATTTTTTTTTTTAAATGTTAGTTTTTTTCATTACCATTAAGGAACGAATGATTTGAGAAAGTGTGACGAGAATTGATTAATTATTGTATATTTAAAATTAATTACACTTCACATTTAATCTTTTTTTTCAAAAGAAAAAATTAAGAACAAAAATGTTTACAGAAAATTTTCTATAAAGCGGTACACAATTGAAATAAGATTCTTCCATATGTATATTCGACGTATAGAAGGGTAACATTAAAGTAATCAAAATATAATTTTTTCATAACGAATGTAATATTTATTTATTTGGATACATTATTGTTATTGCTTATCGAAAAAAATGTATTACGTAAATCTTTTATAAATGTATTAAGGGACCAAAAAAGTGAAGATCACTATAAAAATGATTAACCTCACAACTCAGTTTATGTACCATCGAATTAGTTAAATTGAAATCATCAGAGATGATAATTTTACATACTAGATAAGAAGTAGATATTTTTTCCCAACACCAATACGTTGATTAATGTCATATATATATATGTGACATGCACGTACTGTATCTATTATTTTAAAAACAAGGAATTTTACAGAAATCTAATTACCAAATTCCGAGTAAAACTTGGTATCTGTGGAATATAATTGCTCAAGATTCTTTGCGATATTAACCATTCTTTTTTCCGTTGAACTTCCACCATCCACCATTTTCATAATCAACACTTCCGTATCTCCAATTTTGTCAAGATATACTATATTCTCCAATATAAGATCAGACCTCGATGACATGACATAAAATGGATTTCCCTCGGAAATAACATTACCAATGTCAGCAAGACCGGCCGTATTTTTTAATCTAATATCCATTAATAACGGAATTTCTGATGAACTACGCTTCATATTTAGACAATTTGCTAATTCACTTTCACGATCTGGATACACTATCATATGCTCATTAAGTGTAATAAATTTTTTTTTCTTGAAATTTAAAAGACGCGAAGCATAATCTTTACTAATCATTTCAGCACGATGAAACATTAAATCTACTCTATTTGTGTCACTTTGTCTAAGTGCAAGTCGATTAATTGCAGCATCCATTCGTCTTTGTCCACTAATATTTAATAAACTCTTTCTCTGCGTGTAGGAATACAAAATATAATAATCCTCAAATCGAAGATGTTGTCTAATATCTTTGATTTTATTATATTTAGAAAAAGCTTCATCTATATTTTGTAAATAAAAGAAACCATATATTTCTTTAATTCTTTTTTCTGCTTCTTTCACTGTAGAAATACTATCTAAATATCTTTTATGTAACACGTCCAAAATATAGGGATGAGCATTTATTTTCCATTCCTGATAAGAATGCGTAAATTTACCATTTATCATTTCATTAGCAAATTCATGATAACTTGGAACATCTAAACTTGGTTTTGTGCTTAAAATATACTCTTGAAGATTGTTTCTTACTGCCTTTAAGCTAGTTAAAGGATGATTGTTAGATAATAAAATGGCAACATTTTTAATCTCTTTCATTCTTGATAATTGTGCATTTTCTTCCAACTGATACAATTGTCTCAAATCCGAATCTAAACAACGATACCAAGAATTAAATGATATTTTCTTTTGCTCTAATTCAATATTTAAAATTTTGTTACTTTCATCATCAGAAATATCCTTTAATGTAAATAAAACATCGCTAAATGTTATGTAATCATTTTCAAAGTCTTTATGAAACTTAGTTAAGTCTACAAATCCATATGCAGAAGTAGTTGTTATGCTGTAACGTACTTCTGTTCCTGAAATTAATGATGGTTCTAAAATCATTGATTCTTTATTTGTCAAAATAGTAATGTCATTAAAGAAAAAGTCTTTTGTTTTCAATTTATTTAACAAATTTGAAAGTTCATTGTCGCTAAGTTCTTGAGTGAAATAGAGTTTACGTGGTATTTTTAATGGAAATCTTTTATCTATTTGAAAACGAGCCAGATTATTTAAAGCATAACGTAAATTTAACATTTTACTTTCTTTTTTCATCATAACGCTTAAACGTTGGTATTTCCATAATTTTAATACATCTACATAATCTGTGTAAGTTGGGGTTTTTAACATCGCTTCGTAGAAGTTTGGATTAAGTTGAAATTCATTTATTTTAAACCCGGAGTTAGGTAACAGTCTTTGTACTGGTAGATGTGCAGAGTTCTCTAGACCTTCGGATAATGTATTTACATTTTTTTTGTTTAAATTTGAATTTTTATGTACATTTTGTTTTGACGTTCCGGGGATATCATCCAAATCCAATGTTTTTGGTTTGTTATGTTGATGTGTTGCAATACTTTCTATATTTCCTGAAATTGTATCTAATTTTATTTTATCTGGATTTAGATATTGATTTTTTTTCACTTGTTCTAGTATTTCTTTCACATATGGCGAAGAATGAACATAATTTTCTGATAATGTTTCGACTTTTTCAATATTTATGTTTGGGTTAATTTGGAAATTTTGTCTCGACGTTCCTGGGATACTATTCGCAAATTCTTGTAATCTTTGCAGTTGTGGTGTTGAATATTCGAAACTATTTGATATATCACCTGCTTTAATGATTGTGTTTGGTTTTTCATGTACAGATTGTATTGAAGTCTTAGGGATATTAATCAATGATTCTTCTGCTTTTTGTAGATGTTGATTAATATTTTCCATATCTTCCCGCATTATATTTGGATTTTTTCTCTTTTCATGAGAAAATTTTTTATGATGATATTGTTCAAAAATTTCTGGTACTTTTTGTAACTCTAAGTTTCCCTTCTGTGACTGAACATTGTGATTTATTTCTTCTAACAGATTGGATTCATCCGAAAGTGGTTGAGATGCTTTTTGTAACACTAATTTTCCGTCGTATTCATTCGCAGGTTTTATTTTCCATTCTATTGTAATAGGATAGACTTGATAATCACGAGTTATTTTCATTTCTGGTCCATTAGCAACCATATCCGCTACCATATATTTAACTCGACGAAGAAGATCATTGTTATCCATTTTCATTTCGGGTCCAATTATACTGTTCATTTCTGGAACGAATTCTTTGTAAGAAATTTCACCGGATGATTTTACTGGAACAACTGGAACCTTATATGAAGCTCCTTGCACGGTTCTTAATTCGGCAATTGTGTCAATTGATCTTATGTACTCAGGTCCAAATAAACGTGAACTACCAGGATAATGGTATCTAACAATGTCATAATTATTTTTCTTCAATAAAACCTTTGGTACTAATCCCCTTATGTCAGTTAACAGATGTATATTTCGTTTCATGTTCATTAATAAGGTTTTCAGTGATAATATAAAATTTTTAGCTTGTGATATAGTTTTAAACATTAATTCAAAATTTTTAACCAGTTTTCCTAACATTTTAAAACTAAAGCGGCCCATTGAGTGAAGTAATTCAAATCCAGGATCTAGTGTTCGAAGGGAGGCTATTGTTAAACCTTTAAAGAATTCTTTAGTTAAAATTTGTTTTGCGATTGTTATAACAGAATCTTTTGCAATTGTCTTTAACGCTGTAGTTAATGACATTTTGGTCACAATTTCGGATGTCTTTGCAACAGCGTTTGCAATAAAAACATTCTTAATAATTGCACTTTCGACACTGTTGACTACCTTAAATGAAGATGAGGCCCAAAAACCTACAACTGGAATAAAACTTAAAATATCCAGGCTACAACTTATCGTGGCTCCAATTTTGTCACCTGCTATTGAACTTTCAATACAATTGTATAATGGGATAAAACTTTTCACGACATTTAAAATTTTTTCCCCAAGAGTTTTCTCTTTATATACTTCTATCATGTTTGTTATAAACGCCTTTGTCTTCATATCGGCAATTCTTTCAACAAAAAATGTATAATTTTCATTCGGATATTTATACGTTGAGTATCGATATAAGTTCATTTTATATGATTTGGCATTATCAGTAACAATGGAACGAATAAATTTTGTTAGATTTCCATTGACATTAACTAATGTCAATTCTCCATTCATCTGCCTAATAGCGTAAAATTCTTTTACTCTTTTATGAGCTATTGCAAATAGTGTATATATGTTCTCGTTTAGTTTTACTATTTCAGCTGGGCACATATCACATTCACGGTATTCTACTTTTGCGGAAAATATAAATTCATTTAAATTAATTTTTTTAAATAATTCACTATCTATTAAGACTTTCGTAATTGCATTTCTTTCAATTTGTTTGTACAGTTTCACTATTTTTGGAAATTGCTTAAGAAATACATTATCTAAATCTGGAAAATGACTTGTAAAGCAACTCTGCTGGAGTACTAATTTTAGTGTCCAAAGGTACACGGTTTTATACAAGTACACAAATTTTTCAATATTGTCACCCAAATTAAAACAATAAAGACTAAGTATTTCTCGGGCAATCATCGTCCGAGTTTTGGTATTATTGATTTGCCTTTCCAGTTTGTAAGGCAAACTATTCTCAATTTCTTTACTTACAATTTCATTCATTTTGATATCAATTTCGGTAAATAAAATTTTATAAGCTTCTCTCCAAAATTCATCATTTAAATTAATTTTATTTATTCCTTTGCCTTTAGAGGCATAAAAAAATAAAGCTGCAGTTGAGAAATACGGTAATACAATTTTATAGGTTTCATTATCGATATGCTGCAAATCAAGTTGTCGCGTGATTAAAATATATTCCGAGAACGAAAGATTTGGTTCATCCGATGACGTGGACCTGAGGATATTTAAACCTACCATTGAATAAATGTATTTAACGTCCATTATGCTCATGTCTTCTTCGGGTTGGGGAAAAATTGACCAAATGTAATCGTCGAAAATTTTTTTAATTATCAATTGAGGTAGTGTTGATGTGTAATTTTTTTGCGAACAGTATTCCCAATTGAAGTGATGTTGCAAGAGATGATTATACACGGTTTTCTTAAAAATTGAGTAATTTAAATTATCTGAATTCTGAATCATTTCAGCCAAATACAAATTAATGTTGCTATAGTTGGGAAACAGTACGCCATTAATGATGTACTTAAATGTTTCGTTTACATATTTCATGTCAAGTTTTTCATGTTTTTCACCACCATAGAGATCAGTTTCTTTTAGTAATTCTCTTAGAATGTAACTTTTCATGCGGGTTTCATTTTTCGATTTCGTTAGATACTCAATTAAAGTGTTGACAACAATGTCAGATTGACTTTGCTGCTCAAATGTAATATAATTTTTATTATGAAAAAAAATACCCAGAAGATTAATGTAGTGACAAACGGAAAGAAATTGAAAGTTCTGTGACTGCTCAACAATGATTGTTGTGTTGTTCATTGTGTTGATCCTGAAACAAATTAACGTGTTAGGTTTTATTATTATTTTTTTTAAAGAAGATCATGTTTCCTTGAGAATTTGAAGCCAAATTTCAGATAATTCGGAATAATTCATATAATTCAAGTTAATTCAAGATAATTCATAGGAATTCGCAATACTTTAAATTAATTAAAGGTAACTTATGATAATTCACAATACTTAAGGTAATTCATGTAATTCAGAATTGAGCTGAAGAACGTAACGTTAATTGTTTAACGGTTACAAAAACCAATTTATTAAAGTTTGTTCAAATTTTAATCATTACCAATCGAAAGAGCATAAAAAAATGTGTCAGAATCCATGAGTTTTATTCCAAATTTGATGTCGGAAAGATATGAAAAATCAAAATTAATTTAACCTTTCTCAAATGTTAAAGATTGCGTTATCGGGTGCTTATTAAATTTTGATTTTTCATATCTTTCCGACATCAAATTTGGAATAAAACTCATGGATTTTGACACATTTTTTTATGCTCTTTCGATTGGTAATGATTAAAATTTGAACAAACTTTAATAATAATTTGGTTTTTGTAACCGTTAAACAATTAACGTTACGTTCTTCAGCTCAATTAATTCAGATTCATTCAACTTAAGTGTACACTTTAATTCACAAGTTATTTCCCCATCGGTGTAAAAAAAGGTTTTTTTTAATGCACTCTAAACAATATTTACCTCTGGGTTGTATTTTGTCCACTCTTTAAACTAATAAAATTTAAGTTGTAAATGAGACTTATATATTGAATATCCACAAGGTTATCCAAATAATATAGATAAAAAAAAATACACGTGGAACACCTGTTAGTCTATTTTTATTTAAAGAATTTTTGTGCAACCCTGTGGAAAAAATTCAAACTTGTATATTTTTTTCTATAGAAAATACATTGCGCCAAGAATATATGCCTCTTTTATTTAAAACTTGTTAAGGTTATTGAACAATACTTTCTTTACATAAATGATTGTAAACATTTCCCTAGAAAAAAAAATTACAGTGAAACCCACTTATATCGGACCCGCAATATTCGTATTCCAGCTTAAATCGGATTTTTTTTCTGTCCCTTGAAATCCGATATACGTGGATTTCACTGTATCTAACAATCGTAATTATCTTATTTATGCTTAAATCTAAAAATAAATATAACTTAATAAATTTATACTAAACCCTAATTTTACTATAACAATTTTTTTTAACCAATTTTATTTTTAAAAAAATTTAATAAATATTAGAAATTTTTAGATATAAAAAAACTTTATTTATAAATTAATATATATTATTATTACATTTTTATTTGTTTATAATTATTTTTTTAAATGCATAATTGAACAGAAGTAACAATTTTAAACAAAATTATTTTAAAAAAACAAGAAATTTTAATAAAATCTAATTACCAAATTCCGAGTAAAACTTGGTTTTTGTTGAAAATAATTCCTCAAGATTCTTTGCGATATTAACCATTCTTTTTTCCATTGAACTTCCATTATCCTCCATTTTCATAATCACCACTTTCTGATCATCAATTGTGTCAATATATACTTTATTCTCCAATATAAATTCAGATCTCGATGTAATAACATAAAATAGATGAGTTTCATCGGAAATAACACTAGTAACGTCAGCAAAACCAACTGCATTTTTTAATCTAATATCCATTATTAACGGCATTTCATGTGAGGTACGCGCCATCTTCAGACAATTATCTAATTCCATATTACGATCTGGATACAACATCATATTCTCTTCAAATGTAATAAATTTTTTCCTCTCGAGTGATAAAAGATGCAAAGCATAATCTTCACTAATCATTTCAGCACGATGAAACATTAAATCAACTCTATTTGTATCACTTTGTCTAAGCGCAAGTCGATTAATAGCAGCATCCATTCGTCTTAGTCCATCAATATTTAATAAACTCTTTCTCTGCGTATAGGAATATAAAATATAATAATCCTCAAATCGAAGATGCTGCCTAATATCTTTGATTTTATTATATTTAGAAAAAGCTTCACGTATATCTTGAAAATAAGTTAAACCATATATCATCTCAATTCTTTTTATTGCTTGACTTTCTGTAAAAATATTATCTAAATGACTTTTAAGTAACACATCTTGAATATAAGGATGTGCAGCTATTTTCCAATCTTGATAATAATGATTAAGTTGATTATTTAATATATCATTGGCAAATTCATCATAACTTGGAACATTTAAACTTGGTTTTGTGCTTAAAATATATTCTTCAAGCAATTTTCTTGCAGATTTTAAAGTAGTTAAAGGACGATTATTGGATAAGAAACTGGCGGCATTTTCAATGTCTTTCATTCTTGATAATTGTAAATTTTCTTCTACCTCTAACAATTCTTTAAAATCCTTCTCTACAGATTGATACCAATGACTAAATGACATTTTTTTTGCTCTAATTCAATATTTAAAATTTTATTACTTGCAGTAAAAGAAGTATCCTTTACTGTAAATATTACGTCTCCAAATGTTATATAATCATTTTTAAAGTTTTCATGAAAATGAGTTAAGTCTACAAATCCATATGGAGAATTAATTATTAAGGTGTATCGTATTTCTATTTCTGAATCTAATAATTGTGATAGCAGCTTTGATTCTTTATTTTTTAAAATAGTAATGTCATTGAAGAAAAAATCTTTACTTTTTAAATTACTTAATAAATTCAAATTTTCTAGTCCATTTATTGTTTGAGAGTAATAGAGTTTATGTGGTATTCTTAACGGAAATCTTCCATTCAATTGAAGATGAGCCAAAGTATTTACAGCATAACGTAAATTATGTATTTCATTTTTTTTTGTCATCATAACATTTAAACCTTGGTATTTCCATGATTTTAATAAATCTACATATTCTGTGTAGGTTGAGGTTTTTAACATCGTTTTATAATTGTTTGGATTAATTTGAAACTGTTTTATTAAAGTCCCGGAATTAGCCAACATTTTTTCTACTTGTAGATATGCAAAGTTTTCTAAGCCTTTGGATTGTCTTTCATGTTGATGTGGTGCAATATTTTCAATATCTTCTAATATTGTATCTGATTTTTTTTTGTTTAAATTTATAATTTTTTTTTTATTTAATATTTCTAATACTTTTTTCACATATAGTGAAGAATGATCGTAATCATCTGCTATTTTTTCGACTTTTTGTATATCTATTTTTGGTTTAATTTGTACATTTTGTCTCGATGTTTCGGGGATATTAAATAAATCTTGTGTTTCTTGTTGATGTGATGCAATACTTTCTATATCTTCTAATATTGTATCTAACTTTTTTCGATTTAAATTTATATTTTTTTCTTCATTCAATATTCTTGTACTTTTTTCATATATGGTGAAGAATTTTCGTAACCCTCTGCTATTATTTCGACATTTCCATTATTTACATTTGGTGTAATTTTTAAAGTTTGTCTCGACGTTCCTGGTATACTATCGACAAATTCTTGCAATCTTTGCAAATGTGGTGTTGAGTATTCAAAACTATTTAATATATCGCCTTTTTCAATGACTGTGTATGGTTTTTCATGTACAATTTGTATTGAATTCTTAGGAATATTAATCAATCATTCTTCTGCTTTTTGTTGATGTGATAAAATATTTTCTATATCTTCCATTTTATCTACTTTTTTTCTATCACGAACACCAAATTTTTTATGTTGATACTGTTCAGAAATTGATGATACTTCTTCTATCTCTAATTTTCCATTCTTTGACTGAATATTATGATCTATTTGTCTTAGTACATTGGATGAATCTGTAAGTGGATGAGATACTTTTGTTATCTCTAATTTTCCGTTGTTTGACTGAATATTATAATCTATTTTTCTTAATACATTGGATGAATCTGAAAGTGGATGAGGATGAAGATTAATAAATTGTGGAGAATTATTTTCCACTGTTCTCAGTTGTTGATTTAAATCTACGGGCAAGTTTTCCCTCGGTGGTGTAAATCTAAACTCCATTCTATTATGATAGACATAATAATTACGAGTTATTTTCATATCTCGTCCATTAGCCACCATATCCGCTACCATAAATTTAACTCGACGAAGAAGATCATTGTTATCCATTTTTATGTTGGGTCCAATTATATCACCAGTTTCTGGAATATATTGTTTATAAGAAATTTCATTTGGTGATTTTACTGGAACAACTGGAACCTTATATGAAGCTCCTTGTATGGTTCTTAATTCGGCAATTTTTCCAAATGATTTTATGCACTCAGGTCCAAATAAATGTGAACCACTGGGATAAAAGTATCTAACAATTTCATAATTATTTTGCTTGACTAAAACCTTTGGTACTAATCCCATTTGATCGGTTAATAAATGCATATTTCGTTGCATATTCTTTAATAATAATTCCATTGATATTAAAATATTTTTAGCTATTGATATAGTTTTAAAACTTAATTTAAGATTTTCAAATAATTTTCCCAACATTTTAAAACTAATACGACCCATTGAGTAAAGTAATTCAAATCCAGGATCAAGTGTTCGAAGGGAGGCTATTGCTAAATCTTTAAAGAATTTTTTAGCTAGAATTTGTCCTGCAATTGTTTTAACAGAATCTGTTGCAATATTTCTTAACGCTGTTGTTAATGACATTTTGGTGACAATTCCGGATGTCTTTGCAAGAGCATTTATAATGAAATAATTCTTATCAATTGATGTTACAAAACTGTTGACTAATCTACTTGAATATGATGAAACAAAACCTGCAATTGGAATAAAACTAAAAATATCCATGGTACAACTAAAAGTGGCTCCAGCTTTGTCACCAGCTTTTGCACTCTCAATACAATTGTATAATGGAATTAAACTTCTTATGACATTTAAAATTTTTTCCCCAACAGTTACCTCCCTATAACGAGCTTTTAGCATTGTTATAAACTCCTTTGTCTTCTTATTGGCAATTCTTTCAACAAAAAATTTATAATTTTCATATTTACGTTTATACATTATGGAAAGTGATGAAGTTTCCATTTTTAAATGTGTATTATTAGAAATGGCTCTAACAAATTCTTTTTCCATTCCATTGCTTGTAATTAATGTCAATTCATCATTCATCTGTCTAATAGCGTAATATTCTATTTTTTCGTTTTCAATTATTGCAAATATTACATATATGTCCTGGTTTATTTCTCGCTCCACAGGTGGACACATGTTACAACCTATGGGAAATATACTTGGTAGTTTTGAAGATCTCACTATAACATTTGGATTTATTTTTTCTAATAATCCACCGTCGGTTAAGACTTTTGTTATTGCATTTCTTTCAATTTCTTTGTACATTTTCTCTATTTTTTGAAATCGCTTATCATATACTTCACCTAAATCTGGTAAAAAACTTGTATCACACTGATAAAGGTTGAATATAAGTTTTGTTATCCAAAGGTACAGTGTTTTATAATAGGACACAAATTTGTCAGGTACGTCTTTCTCTTTACCATTAAAACAATAAAGACTAAGTATTTCTCGGGCAATCATCGTTCGAGTTTTGGTATTATTGATTTCCCTTTCCAGTTTGTAAGGCAAACTATTCTCAATTTCTTTACTTACAATTTCATTTATTTTGATATCAATTTCGGTAAATAAAATTTTATAAGCTTCTCTCCAAAATTCATCATTTAAATTTATTTTATTTATTCCTTTGCTTTTAGAGGCATAAAAAAATAAAGCTGCAGTTGAGAAATACGGTAATACAATTTTATAGGTTTCATTATCGATATGCTGCAAATCAAGTTGTCGCGTGATTAAAATATATTCCGAGAACGAAAGATTTGGTTCATCCAATGACGTGGACCTGAGAATATTTAAACCTACCATTGAATAAATGTATTTAACGTCCATTATGCTCATGTCTTCTTCGGGTTGGGGAAAAATTGACCAAATGTAGTCGTCGAAAATTTTTTTAATTGTCAATTGAGGTAGTGTTGATGTGTAATTTTTTTGCGAACAGTACTCCCAATTGAAGTGATGTTGCAAGAGATGATTATACACGGTTTTCTTAAAAATTGAATAATTTAAATTATCTGAATTCTGAATCATTTCAGCCAAATACAAATTAATGTTGCTATAGTTGGGAAACAGTACGCCATTAATGATGTACTTAAATGTTTCGTTTACATATTTCATGTCAAGTTTTTCATGTTTTTCACCACCATAGAGATCAGTTTCTTTTGGTAATTCTCTTAGAATGTAACTTTTCATGCGGGTTTCATTTTTCGATTTCGTTAGACGCTCAATTAAAGTGTTGACAACAATGTCAGATTGACTTTGCTGCTCAAATGTAATTAAACGCATGAAAAAGTTCTAAATCAAATTTTTTACAATTATTATTATTTGAAAGAATCTTATTCTGTAGAATATTAATTTGGCAGAATATTAAATTGTTTAAATATTAATTTTGCAGAATTTTCATTAAACCGATTATCAGTGTTGCAGAAATTTTATTTAGACCAAAATTAATTTGCCATAAATTAAATTTGATCAAATCTTAATTTAAGGGAAACATTGTCTTGTAGAATAGTAATTGAAAAGAATTTTAATTTTCCAGAAAGAATATTAATTTAATTTTTGGCAAATTAATTTTGTTCGAATTAAAATTTCTACCAACATTGAAAATCTGTTTAATACAAATTCTGCAAAAATAATAATTAAACATTTTAATATTCTACAAAAGTAATATTGCATAAAATAAGATTCTATCAAATGATAAATCTAAAAAATTTGTTTTACAACTTTTGCATTCGTCCCGTTTATTATACTAAATTTTATTAATTTTTTTATACTCAGAGTTGTTGAATGATAATTTTTTATTATTGTTCGGCAAAGTGATAATTTTTCAAGGATTCAACTTTTTACACGTGCCTCTTTATTGCTTTAAAATTTTTAACATTAAATTTTATTAAAAATATTATTTTTTTTTGGATTAAAAAATTTGTTATATAGTAATATGCATAGAATTTTTTCAAAATAACTACTTATACTTTTACAAAAATTTTAAGCCTAATCCGATCGGGGGCAAACTTGGTAATAAGAGTATCAAATTTTTATTTTCAAGCTATTTTGAAGCATATAACTTGGTGAGCGAATTTACCTGCAATAAGCGAAATAACCCCGTCTTACGAGAATAATAACAGGATATAATAATATATATAATAATGATAATAATTTTATAATTATGATATCCTGGATTTCAATGATAAAAATAATGAATATTATCTTACCTAATGTGATCTCAATAATATTGAAACCCCAATATCACCAACACTTGTAGAAAACAAAAGTCAAAATATATTTTCGAATAGTGTAGACTGTTACAAATTATATCGTAAAAGAATTTTCAAAAAAATTTCAAATTAAAATAGTTATTAACAATTGAAATTTTTTGTACAATACTTTTTAAACATTCGTAGTCTCTAGAGGTTATATCAGAAATGAATGACAATACCTATATTTTACCTACAAATATGTCGAATTTTAAGTATCATAGATTAAGAAAAAAATAAATTTTTATGAGAAAAGCTATATAATCTATTATTACTTTTTTTATAACTACACGGAAAGATAAATTACACGGTGCAACAAAATTTTTATTTCCGGGACCGCATAGACGAATTCGTTATCAGAATTATTAAAACACCTAAGGTTTTGGAAAACACCTTAAAAATTGAAAAAATGCCGTTTTTAGAGTACTTTTTTATATTAATATTCTATTATAATCTTCTTTCTGGAAAATTAAAATTCTTTTAAATTACTATTCTTCAAAATTAATATTTTACAAACACAGTGTTTCTCACAAATTAAAATTTGATCAAATTTAATTTCTGTCAAATTAATTTTCATCTAAATAAAATTTCTGTAACATTAATAATCAGTTTAATGAAAATTCTGCAAAATTAATATTTAAACAATTTAATATTCTAAAAAAGTAATATTCTACAGAATAAGATTCTATTAAATGATAATAATTCTAAAAAATTTGTTTTAAAACTTTTTCATGCCTTCCCGTTTATCAAACTAAATTTTATTAATTTTTTTATATTCACAGTTGTTGAATGATAATTTTTTATTATTGTTTGACAAACTGATATTTTTTCAGGGATTCAATTTTTTGCACGAACCTTTTTAATGCTTTAAAATTTGAAATTTTTTTTTTAAATGTTAGTTTTTTTCATTACCCTTAAGAAACGAATGATTTGAGAAAGTGTGACGAGGATTGATTAATTATTGTATATTTAAAATTAATTACTCTTCACATTTCATCTTTTTTTTCAAAAGAAAAAATTAAGAACAAAAATGTTTACAGAAAATTTTCTGAAAAGCGGTACACAATTGAAATAAGATTCTTCCATATGTATATTCGACGTATAGAAGGTTAACATTAAAGTAATCAAAATATAATTTTTTTCATAATGAATATAATATTTATTTATTTAGATGGATACATTATTGTTATTGCTTGTCGAAAAAAACATATATTACGTAAATCTTTTATAAATGTATTAAGCGACCAAAAAAGTGAAGATCACTATAAAAATGATTAACCTTACAACTCAGTTTATGTACCATCGAATTAGTTAAATTGAAATCATCAGAGATGATAATTTTACAATCTAGATAAGAAGTAGATATTTTTTCCCAACACCAATACGTTGATTAATGTCCTATATATATATATATATATATATATATATATGTGACACGCACACTGTATATATTATTTTAAAAACAAGAAATTTTACAGAAATCTAATTACCAAATTCCGAGTAAAACTTGGTATCTGTGGAATATAATTGCTCAAGATTCTTTGCGATATTAACCATTCTTTTTTCCGTTGAACTTCCACCATCCACCATTTTCATAATCATCACTTCCGTATCTCCAATTTTGTCAAGATATACTATATTCTCCAATATAATATCAGACCTCGATGAAATGACATAAAATGGATTTCCCTCGGAAATAACACTAGTAACGTCAGCAAGACCGGCCGTATTTTTTAATCTAATATCCATTAACAACGGAATTTCTGATGAACTACGCTTCATACTCAGACAATTTGCTAATTGACTTTCACGATCTGGAAACACTATCATATGCTTATTAAGTCTAATAGAATGTTTTTCCTCCATTTCTAAAAGGCGCGAAGCATAATCTTTATCAATCATTTCAGCACGATGAAACATTAAATTTACTCTATTTGTGTCACTTTGTCTAAGCGCAAGTCGATTAACTGCAGCATCCAGTCGTCTTTGTACACCAATATTTAATAAACTCCCTCTCTGCGTGTAGGAATACAAAATATAATAATCCTCAAATCGAAGATGTTGTCTAATATCTTTGATTTTATTATATTTAGAAAAAGCTTCATCTATATTTTGTAAATAAGTGAAACCATATATTTCTTTAATTCTTTTTTCTGCTTCTTTCACTGTAGAAATACTATCTAAATATCTTTTATGTAACACGTCCAAAATATGGGGATGAGCATTTATTTTCCAATCCTGATAAGAATGCGTAAATTTACCATTTATCATTTCATTAGCAAATTCATGATAACTTGGAACATCTAAACTTGGTTTTGTGCTTAAAATATACTCTTGAAGATTGTTTCTTACTGCCTTTAAGCTAGTTAAAGGATTATTCTTGAATAATAAAATGGCAACATTATTAATCTCTTTCATTCTTGATAATTGTGCATTTTCTTCCAACTGATACAATTGTCTCAAATCCAAATCTAAACAATGATACCAAGAATTAAATGATATTTTCTTTTGCTCTAATTCAATATTTAAAATTTTGTTACTTTCACTATCAGAAATATCCTTAAATGTAAATAAAACATCGCTAAATGTTATGTAATCATTTTCAAAGTCTTTATGAAACTTAGTTAAGTCTACAAATCCATATGCCGAAGTAGTTGTTATGCTGTAACGTACTTCTGTTCCTGAAATTACTGATGGTTCGAAAATCATTGATTCTTTATTTGTCAAAATAGTAATGTCATTAAAGAAAAATTCTTTTGTTTTCAATTTATTTAACAAATTTGAAAGTTCATTGTCGCTAAGTTCTTGAGTGAAATAGAGTTTACGTGGTATTTTTAATGGAAATCTTTTATCTATTTGAAAACGAGCCAGATTATTTAAAGCATAACGTAAATTTAACATTTTACTTTCTTTTTTCATCATAACGCTTAAACGTTGGTATTTACATAATTTTAATAAATCTACATAATCTGTGTAAGTTGGGGTTTTTAACATCGCTTCGTAGAAGTTTGGATCAAGTAGAAATTCTTTTATTTTAAACCCGGAGTTAGGTAACAGTCTTTGTACTGGTAGATGTGCAGAGTTCTCTAAACCTTCGGATAATGTATTTACATTTTTTTTGTTTAAATTTGAATTTTGATGTACATTTTGTTTTGACGTTCCGGGGATATCATCCAAATCCAATGTTTTTGGTTTTTTATGTTGATGTGTTGCAATACTTTCTATATTTCCTGAAATTGTATCTAATTTTCTTTTATCTGGATTTAGATATGGATTTTTTTTCACTTGTTCTAGTATTTCTTTCACATATGGCGAAGAATGAACGTAATTTTCTGATAATATTTCGACTTTTTCAATATTTAAGTTTGGTTTAATTTGGAAAGTTTGTCTCGACGTTCCTGGGATACTATCCGCAAATTCTTGTAATCTTTGCAGTTGTGGTGTTGAATATTCGAAACTGTTTGATATATCACCTGCTTTAATGATTGTGTTTGGTTTTTCATGTACAGAATGTATTGAAGTCTTAGGGATATTAATCAATGATTCTTCTGCTTTTTGTAGATGTTGATTAATATTTTCCATATCTTCCCGCATTATATTTGGATTTTTTCTCTTTTCATGAGAAAATTTTTTATGATGATATTGTTCAAAAATTTCTGGTACTTTTTGTACCTCTAAGTTTCCCTTCTGTGACTGAACATTGTGATTTATTTCTTCTAACAGATTGGATTCATCCGATAGTGGTTGAGATGCTTTTTGTAACACTAATTTTTCGTCGTATTCATTCGCAGGTTTTATTTTCCATTCTATTGTAATAGGATAGACTTGATAATCACGAGTTATTTTCATTTCCGGTCCATTAGCCACCATATCCGCTACCATATATTTAACTCGACGAAGAAGATCATTGTTATCCATTTTCATTTCGGGTCCAATTATACTGTTAATTTCTGGAACAAATTCTTTGTAAGAAATTTCACCGGATGATTTTACTGGAACAACTGGAACCTTATATGAAGCTCCTTGCACGGTTCTTAATTCGGCAATTGTGTCAATTGATCTTATGTACTCAGGTCCAAATAAACGTGAACCACCAGGATAATGGTATCTAACAATGTCATAATTATTTTTCTTCAATAAAACCTTTGGTACTAATCCCCTTATGTCAGTTAACAGATGTATACTTCGTTGCATGTTCATTAATAAGGTTTTTAGTGATAATATAAAATTTTTAGCTTGTGATATAGTTTTAAAAACTAATTCAAAATTTTTAACCAGTTTTCCTAACATTTTAAAACTAAAGCGGCCCATTGAGTGAAGTAATTCAAATCCAGGATCTAGTGTTCGAAGGGAGGCTATTGTTAAACCTTTAAAGAATTCTTTAGTTAAAATTTGTTTTGCGATTGTAATAACAGAATCTTTTGCAATTGCCTTTAACGCTGCACTTAATGACATTTTGGTCACAATTCCGGCTGTCTTTGCAACAGCGTTTGTCATAAAAATATTCTTAATAATTGAACCTCCGACACCGTTGACTATCTTAAATGAATTTGATACAAAGAAACCTATAACTGGAAGAAAACTTAAAATATCCAGGCTACAACTTAACGTGGCTCCACTTATGTCACCTGCTATTGAACTTTCAATACAATTGTATAATGGGATAAAAATTTTCACGATATTTGAAATTTTTTCATCAAGAACTTCCTCATTATATACTTCTGTCATGTTTGTTATAAACGCCTTTGTCTTCATATTGGCAATTCTTTCAACAAAAAATTTATAATTTTCATTTTTATATTTATACGGTGACAGTTCAAAAAAATACTCTTTATCTGATTTGAGCAGTTTTAAATATTTAGGATCGATAATAGCGCTAAGAAATTCTTTTTCATTTCCATTTCTTGTAATTAATGTCAATTCATCTTTCACTTGTCTAATAGCGTAGTATTCTTTTTTTTTGTTTTCAATTATTGCAAATATTACATGTATGTCTTCGTTTATTTTCATGTCGATACTACAAGGAGTGTAACATTTTGTGTGAAGTATTGGTTTTACAGAATTCACTGTAACATTTGGATTCATTTTTTCTAATAAACCACCGTCGATTAAGACTTTCGAAATTGAATTTCTTATCATTTCTTTGTACAGTTTTTCTAGTTTTGGAAATTGCTTAAGAAATACATTTTTTAAATCTGGAAAATGACTTGTTTTGCATCTCTGCTGGAGAAAAGTTTTTAGTAGAAAAAGGTACGTGCTTTTATACAAGTACACATATCCTTCTATATAGGCACGATACAATGACGAATCACCATGGACAGAAGGATAACAATAAAGAAGAAGTATTTCGCGGGCAATCATCGTCCGAGTTTTGGTATTATTGATTTGCCTTTCCAGTTTGTAAGGCAAACTATTCTCAATTTCTTTACTTACAATTTCATTCATTTTGATATCAATTTCGGTAAATAAAATTTTATAAGCTTCTCTCCAAAATTCATCATTTAAATTAATTTTATTTATTCCTTTGCCTTTAGAGGCATAAAAAAATAAAGCTGCAGTTGAGTAATACGATAATACAATTTTATAGGTTTCATTATCGATATGCTGCAAATCAAGTTCTCGCGAGATTAAAATATATTCCGAGAACGAAAGATTTGGTTCATCCGATGACGTGGACCTGAGAATATTTAAACCTACCATTGAATAAATGTATTTAACGTCCATTATGCTCATGTCTTCTTCGGGTTGGGGAAAAATTGACCAAATGTAGTCGTCGAAAATTTTTTTAATTGTCAATTGAGGTAGTGTTGATGTGTAATTTTTTTGCGAACAGTACTCCCAATTGAAGTGATGTTGCAAGAGATGATTATACACGGTTTTCTTAAAAATTGAATAATTTAAATTATCTGAATTCTGAATCATTTCAGCCAAATACAAATTAATGTTGCTATAGTTGGGAAATAGTACCCCATTAATGATGTACTTAAATGTTTCGTTTACATATTTCATGTCAAGCATTTCATGTTTTTCACCACCATAGAGATCAGTTTCTTTTAGTAATTCTCTTAGAATGTAACTTTTCATGCGGGTTTCATTTTTCGATTTCGTTAGACGCTCAATTAAAGTGTTGACAACAATGTCAGGTTGACTTTGCTGCTCAAATGTAATATAATTTTTATTATGAAAAATAATACCAAGAAGATTAATGTAGTGACAAACGGAAAGAAATTGAAAGTTCTGTGACTGCTCAACAATGATTGTTGTGTTGTTCATTGTGTTGATCCTGAAACAAATTAACGTGTTAGGTTTTATTATTATTTTTTTTAAAGAAGATCATGTTTCCTTGAGGATTTGAAGCCAAATTTCAGATAATTCGGAATAATTCATATAATTCAAGTTAATTCAAGATAATTCATAGGAATTCGCAATAATACAAATTAATTAAAGGTGAGGCATTTCATATGAGAAGACGGGATCATGTCTCGGATTTTTCTCAAAATTCGGTAAATTGTAGTGATAGTGGTGCTAAATAAGTGTACAAATTTTGAATTTGAAATTTTTAATATTTTTCGAGATATTTACAATAACAAATTTGATCAATATTTTTTTGCTTTACTTATAACTTTTTTCCTATTAAAAATAGAGAAAAATGTTGTAAATGTTTTTTATGCGGAAGATCTTAAACTTTTAGAAAAAAATTATTTAAAAAAAAAAAAATATTAATTTTTAAACAATTTGTTTATAATTTTTAACCATGTTCTCCCTCATTTAGAAACGCGAAAAAAATCATGAATATTGTTTAAGTCATAATAAATCGATGGTTAAATTTTTGAGATGGCATTATTTTTTGTTTTCGAGATATTAATTAATTAACTAACAAAAGTTAATAAAAAATGAAATATTTTACGAACAAATAAAATTAGAGTAATTTTAAATACACCATTAGAATGTTTATCAAAATCCGCATCAAACGAGCCCTATATGAACTATTTTGGATAAACGGGTGTTAAATTAATAATTAATAATAAAAATTATTTAAATAATTAATACACGGAAAAAAATTTTCTGTAGAATTTACAGAAACTCCTGCGCCATCTACTGATGTTTCTCCAAATAGAGAAATATGTTGAATCATTGGCATTAAAATCTGTTAATTCTACAAGTTTGAGCTACAGTTCTTAAAAACTGTTGAGTGACCAAATTATGTATACTATATGCGGGGATAATATATATTTGGTAGAGTATTTCTTATAGGTTATATTCTCCTCCGAATACATTAAATTCGCGGAACATTATTGTATAAATTAGTATAACTTCTATGTAAATAAATTCATCCTTCAATAATTTTTTAACAAAAAAAATGAGGAGCAAGTTTTCAAAACTTATGATAAATCCACTTTTTCTTATGTCGAGAAATTGAAACAAACGACTTTTCTCACTTAATCACTACAGTTAATTTTAAAATAAAAAATTTGTAATAATTTATTTCTATAATAATGTTTATATACTTAAGACGTTTCCTTTTTAATTAAACTTTCTTGCCGACACTATGATAATAATAAAAACACTAAATTCGCCTTAACCTCTCGCACTCAATCGTACTCAGCCTTAGTTGAATCACTGCATTGTTTTCGCGCATGCGTTAAATCCTTGCAGAAAATATCTGTAGAATTAACAGATTTAGGAACATGTAAAATCTCTAAATCGACGTTAAAGAATTACCAGAAAATTTTTTTCCGTGTAACATTTGAAGAAATGAAGATAAACCATCAATTCTTTTTTTATTTGGAAGATCATCTAATTCTGTATTAAATAAAATGTAAATAACATTTTTAACAAATCTAAATTATTAACAGATGATTATTGAAAATTGAGGTTTCAGCACCCTACGACACAAGTTGGAGGGGGCTGCCTACCTACTCGGCATGGTATTTTTCAATCTTTTTCTAAATAACATTTTATAATTAATTTTTGATTCTTGGTAATACTTAATATTTTTTTTTTGACACAGAATTAGATGGTCTTCCAAATAAAAAAAGAATTGACGGTTTATCTTCATTTCCTTAAATGTTATTAATTATTTAAATAATTTTTATTATTAATTATTAATTTAACACCCGTTTATCCAAAATAGTTCATTTAGGGCTCGTTGGATGCGGATTTTGATAAGCATTCTAATGGTGTTTTTCAAATTACTCTAATTTTATTTGTTCGTAAAATATTTCATTTTTTATTAACTTTTGTTAGTTAATTAATTAATATCTCGAAAACAAAAAATAATGACATCTCAAAAATTTAACCATCGATTTATTATGAATTAAACAATATTCATGATTTTTTTCGCGTTTCTAAATGAGTGAAAACATGGTTAAAAGTTATAAACAAATTTTATTTTTTAAACAAATTGTTTAAAAATTAATATTTTTTTAAAAAAATAATTTTTTTCTAAAAGTTTAAGATCTTCCGCGTAAAAAACATTTACAACATTTTTCTCTATTTTTAATAGGAAAAAAGTTATAAGTAAAGCAAAAAAATATTTCCCCATCGGTGTAAAAAAAGGTTTTTTTTAATACACTCTAAACAATATTTACCTCTTGGTTGTATTTTGTCCACTTTTTAAACTAATAAAATTTATGTTGCAAATGAGACTTATATATAGAATATCCACAAGGTTATTCAAATAATATAGATAAAAAAAATACACGTGGAACACCTGTTAGTCTATTTTTATTTAAAGAATTTTTGTACAACCCTGTGGAAAAAAATTCAAACTAGTATATTTTTTTCTATAGAAAATACACTGCGCCAAGAATATATGCCTCTGTTATTTGAAACTTATGTTAAGGTTATTGAACAATACTTTCTTTACATAAATGATTTTAAACATTTCCCTAGAAAAAAAAATTACAGTGAAAACCCACGTATAACGGACGCGCAATATTCGCATTCCAGCTTACATCGGATTTTTTTCGGTCCCTTGAAATCCGATATACGTGGGTTTCACTGTATCTAACAATCGTAATTATCTTATTTATACTTAAATCTAAAAATCAATATAAAATTTAATAAATTTATACTAAACCCTAATTTTACTATAACAATTTTTTTTAACCAAAAAAAAACAATTTTATTTAAAAAAAAATTTAATAAATATTAGAAATTTTTAGATATAAAAAAACTTTATTTATAAATTAATAGGTATATATTATTATTACATTTTTATTTGTTTATAATTATTTTTTTAATGCATAATTGAACAGAAGTAACAATTTTAAACAAAATTATTTAAAAAAAAAACAAGAAATTTTACTAAAATCTAATTACCAAATTCCGAGTAAAACTTGGTTTTTGTTGAAAATAATTCCTCAAGATTCTTTGCGATATTAACCATTCTTTTTTCCATTGAACTTCCATTATCCTCCATTTTCATAATCACCACTTTCTGACCATTAATTGTGTCAATATATACTTTATTCTCCAATATAAATTCAGACCTCGATGTAATAACATAAAATGGATGAGTTTCATCGGAAATAACACTAGTAACATCAGCAAAACCAGCTGCATTTTTTAATCTAATATCCATTATTAACGGTATTTCATGTGAGGTACGCGCCATCTTTAGACAATTATCTAATTCCATTTTACGATCTGGATACAACATTATATTCTCTTCAAATGTAATAAATTTTTTCCTCTCGAGTGATAAAAGATGCAAAGCATAATCTTCACTAATCATTTCAGCACGATGAAACATTAAATCAACTCTATTTGTGTCACTTTGTCTAAGCGCAAGTCGATTAATAGCAGCATCCATTCGTCTTTGTCCATCAATATTTAATAAACTCTTTCTCTGCGTGTAGGAATATAAAATATAATAATCCTCAAATCGAAGATGCTGTCTAATATCTTTGATTTTATTATATTTAGAAAAAGCTTCACATATATCTTGAAAATAAGTTAAACCATATATCATCTCAATTCTTTTTATTGCTTCACTTTCTGTAAAAATATTATCTAAATGACTTTTAAGTAACACATCTTGAATATAAGGATGTGCAGGTATTTTCCAATCTTGATAATAATGATGAAGTTGATTATTTAATATATCATTGGCAAATTCATCATAACTTGGAACATTTAAACTTGGTTTTGTGCTTAAAATATATTCTTCAAGCAATTTTCTTGCAGATTTTAAAGTAGTTAAAGGACGATTATTGGATAAGAAACTGGCGGCATTTTCAATGTCTTTCATTCTTGATAATTGTAAATTTTCTTCTACCTCTAACAATTCTTTAAAATCCTTCTCTACAGATTGATACCAATGACTAAATGACATTTTTTTTTGCTCTAATTCAATATTTAAAATTTTATTACTTGCAGTAAAAGAAGTATCCTTTACTGTAAATATTACGTCTCCAAATGTTATATAATCATTTTTAAAGTTTTCATGAAAATGAGTTAAGTCTACAAATCCATATGGAGAATTAATTATTAAGGTGTATCGTATTTCTATTTCTGAATCTAATAATTGTGATAGCAGCTTTGATTCTTTATTTTTTAAAATAGTAATGTCATTGAAGAAAAAATCTTTACTTTTTAAATTACTTAATAAATTCAAATTTTCTAGTCCACTTATTGTTTGAGAGTAATAGAGTTTATGTGGTATTCTTAACGGAAATCTTCCATTCAATTGAAGATGAGCCAAAGTATTTACAGCATAACGTAAATTATGTATTTCATTTTTTTTTGTCATCATAACATTTAAACCTTGGTATTTCCATAATTTTAATACATCTACATAATCTGTGTAAGTTGGGGTTTTTAACATCGCTTCGTAAAAGTTTGGATTAATTTGAAACTGTTTTATTAAAGTCCCGGAATTAGCCAACATTTTTTCTACTTGTAGATATGCAAAGTTTTCTAAGCCTTTGGATAATGAATCTTGTCTTTCATGTTGATGTGGTGCAATATTTTCAATATCTTCTAATATTGTATCTGATTTTTTTTTGTTTAAATTTATAATTTTTTTTTTATTTAATATTTCTAATACTTTTTTCACATATAGTGAAGAATGATCGTAATCATCTGCTATTTTTTCGACTTTTTGTATATCTATTTTTGGTTTAATTTGTACATTTTGTCTCGATGTTTCGGGGATATTAAATAAATCTTGTGTTTCTTGTTGATGTGATGCAATACTTTCTATATCTTCTAATATTGTATCTAACTTTTTTCGATTTAAATTTATATTTTTTTCTTCATTCAATATTTCTTGTACTTTTTTCATATATGGTGAAGAATTTTCGTAACCCTCTGCTATTATTTCGACATTTCCATTATTTACATTTGGTGTAATTTTTAAAGTTTGTCTCGACGTTCCTGGTATACTATCGACAAATTCTTGCAATCTTTGCAAATGTGGTGTTGAGTATTCAAAACTATTTAATATATCGCCTTTTTCAATGACTGTGTATGGTTTTTCATGTACAATTTGTATTGAATTCTTAGGAATATTAATCAATGATTCTTCTGCTTTTTGTTGATGTGATAAAATATTTTCTATATCTTCCATTTTATCTACTTTTTTTCTATCACGAACACCAAATTTTTTATGTTGATACTGTTCAGAAATTGATGATACTTCTTCTATCTCTAATTTTCCATTCTTTGACTGAATATTATGATCTATTTGTCTTAGTACATTGGATGAATCTGTAAGTGGATGAGATACTTTTGTTATCTCTAATTTTCCGTTGTTTGACTGAATATTATAATCTATTTTTCTTAATACATTGGATGAATCTGAAAGTGGATGAGGATGAAGATTAATAAATTGTGGAGAATTATTTTCCACTGTTCTCAGTTGTTGATTTAAATCTACGGGCAAGTTTTCCCTCGGTGGTGTAAATCTAAACTCCATTCTATTATGATAGACATAATAATTACGAGTTATTTTCATATCTCGTCCATTAGCCACCATATCCGCTACCATAAATTTAACTCGACGAAGAAGATCATTGTTATCCATTTTTATGTTGGGTCCAATTATATCACCAGTTTCTGGAATATATTGTTTATAAGAAATTTCATTTGGTGATTTTACTGGAACAACTGGAACCTTATATGAAGCTCCTTGTATGGTTCTTAATTCGGCAATTTTTCCAAATGATTTTATGCACTCAGGTCCAAATAAATGTGAACCACTGGGATAAAAGTATCTAACAATTTCATAATTATTTTGCTTGACTAAAACCTTTGGTACTAATCCCATTTGATCGGTTAATAAATGCATATTTCGTTGCATATTCTTTAATAATAATTCCATTGATATTAAAATATTTTTAGCTATTGATATAGTTTTAAAACTTAATTTAAGATTTTCAAATAATTTTCCCAACATTTTAAAACTAATACGACCCATTGAGTAAAGTAATTCAAATCCAGGATCAAGTGTTCGAAGGGAGGCTATTGCTAAATCTTTAAAGAATTTTTTAGCTAGAATTTGTCCTGCAATTGTTTTAACAGAATCTGTTGCAATATTTCTTAACGCTGTTGTTAATGACATTTTGGTGACAATTCCGGATGTCTTTGCAAGAGCATTTATAATGAAATAATTCTTATTAATTGATGTTACAAAACTGTTGACTAATCTACTTGAATATGATACAGCAAAACCTGCAATTGAAATAAAACTAAAAATATCCATGGTACAACTAAAAGTGGCTCCAGCTTTGTCACCAGCTTTTGCACTCTCAATACAATTGTATAATGGAATTAAACTTTTTATGAAATTTAAAATTTTTTCCCCAACAGTTACCTCCCTATAATGAGCTTTTAGCATTGTTATAAATGCCTTTGTCTTCTTATTGGCAATTCTTTCAACAAAAAATTGATAATTTTCATTTTGATGTTTATACATTGTGGAAAGTGATGAAGTTTCCATTTTTAAATGTGTAGTATTAGAAATGGCTCTAACAAATTCTTTTTCATTTCCATTGCTTGTAATTAATGTCAATTCATCTTTTATCTGTCTAATAGCGTAATATTCTATTTTTTCGTTTTCAATTATTGCAAATATTACATATATGTCTTGGTTTATTTCTCGCTCCACAGGTGAACACGTGTTACAACCAATGGGAAATGTACTTGGTAGTTTTGCAGATCTCACTATAACATTTGGATTTATTTTTTCTAATAATCCACCGTCGGTTAAGACTTTTGTAATTGCATTTCTTTCAATTTCTTTGTACATTTTCTCTATTTTTTGAAATCGCTTATCATATACTTCATCTAAATCTGGTAAAAAACTTGTATCACACTGATAAAGGTTGAATATAAGTTTTGTTATCCAAAGGTACAGTGTTTTATAATAGGACACAAATTTGTCAGGTACGTCTTTCTCTTTACCATTAAAACAATAAAGACTAAGTATTTCTCGGGCAATCATCGTTCGAGTTTTGGTATTATTGATTTCCCTTTCCAGTTTGTAAGGCAAACTATTCTCAATTTCTTTACTTACAATTTCATTTATTTTGATATCAATTTCGGTAAATAAAATTTTATAAGCTTCTCTCCAAAATTCATCATTTAAATTTATTTTATTTATTCCTTTGCTTTTAGAGGCATAAAAAAATAAAGCTGCAGTTGAGAAATACGGTAATACAATTTTATAGGTTTCATTATCGATATGCTGCAAATCAAGTTGTCGCGTGATTAAAATATATTCCGAGAACGAAAGATTTGGTTCATCCGATGACGTGGACCTGAGGATATTTAAACCTACCATTGAATAAATGTATTTAACGTCCATTATGCTCATGTCTTCTTCGGGTTGGGGAAAAATTGACCAAATGTAGTCGTCGAAAATTTTTTTAATTGTCAATTGAGGTAGTGTTGATGTGTAATTTTTTTGCGAACAATATTCCCAATTGAAGTGATGTTGCAAGAGATGATTATACACGGTTTTCTTAAAAATTGAATAATTTAAATTATCTGAATTCTGAATCATTTCAGCCAAATACAAATTAATGTTGCTATAGTTGGGAAACAGTACGCCATTAATGAAGTACTTAAATGTTTCGTTTACATATTTCATGTCAAGTTTTTCATCTTCTTCACCACCATAGAGATCAGTTCCTTTTAGTAATGCTCTTAGAATGTAACTTTTCAGGCGGGTTTCATTTTTCGATTTCGTTAGATGCTTAATTAAAGTGTTGACAACAATGTCAGATTGACTTTGCTGCTCAAATGTAATATAATTTTTATTATGAAAAATAATACCAAGAAGATTAATGTAGTGACAAACGGAAAGAAATTGAAAGTTCTGTGACTGCTCAACAATGATTGTTGCGTTGTTCATTGTTGTGTTGATACTGAAACAAATTAGGTTTAATAATTATTTTTTAAATATTAGAAATTTAATTTAAAATAATTTTTTCTAATATATATGAGAAAAATATGCTATTGAATCAATAGCATTTTTTGCCAAAGGTATAAAAATTATTGGTACAAAAGCATATGCTATAAAATTTTAGAAAATACTAGCGATGTATTCCTCGCTCGCTAACGCTTGCTCGGTTACATAATTTGCAACAATATTTAAAAGAATTTTTAATTTTTTGGCACAATTACAATATGACAGATGATTGTAGTCAATGTAAAAGCAATAATTGTGCTATGTGATACAGAATGCAGGTGTCCATATATGTTTTGAGAATAATTTCAATTCTATATGAAAAAAAAAACAGAAAAGCAGATAATAGATTTGTTGTGCCGTATAATCCTTATTTGCTATTACTTATAGAGGCATATGGCAAAGTATTTTGATTTATTTGAAAATAAGTGAAAATAGATTTTCCAAGGACGGTGTCGAGGTCACGGGGTCGGTGTCGTTTTTGGAAATTTGTTAACTTAATAGATGTTTCGTTTTAAAATAAGAAATGTTAAAATTATTAAATTAAAAAACAATTGATTTCAATGACACTTAAAATTAGGCACAATATTATAGGTTCCTAACTAAAAATTTAAAAAACAACAATAAATAATTAAAAAAAAACCATAAAAAATTGAAAAAAATTGTTTATATGTAACTTTTTAAAAATAGAGTAATTTTAAAGGTATATATCCAAAAATTCGTAAAAAAAATTGCATAAAATTGCAAAATAACCCTTTATTTGGGATGAAAATGCAAAATAACCCTTTTTTGGGTTAAAATTAAAAAAAAAAGTTACAAAAAAAAGTATGTAAGATTTTCTAAAAGCATATGGCAAAGTATTTTGATTTATTTGAAAATAAGTGAAAATAGATTTTCCAAGGACGGATCGATGTCGTTTTTGGAAATTTGTTAACTTAATATAATACTCTCTAAATCTGAATTAGTAAAAATGTTTACTAATTTGAATTAGTGACTCACATTTTACTAATTCAGAAGCAAAAAGTGAGTCACTAATTCAAATTAGTAAACATTTTTACTAATTCAGATTTAGAGAGTAGAAGATTTTATAGATTCTATAGGATATGCTTTTGAATCAATAATTTTTATTTGTTAGAAATGCTATTGATTCAATAGCATATTTTTCTCATTGTATGAATTTTTATTATTACAGATTTTCACGAATTTATATTTATGTGTCATGTCAATAAATGATATGAATGTAAAAAACTTTTTTTAATACCTTAATTATTAATTGCCACTGAATTGTATTCGGTCTATTCTTCAAACTAATAAAATTTAAGGTTCTAGGAAATTTATATTTAATATATACTTATTAATATTGACTTATATATATATATATTTAAAATCCCCAAGGTTACTCAAATATTATAGATAAAAAAAATTGCGTGTTACACTGCTGAACAAAGTAAAAAGAGACATATAAGCAACGCTTTTTTTTTTTTTACTTTTGACGGCATTACACGTGCAATACCCATTAGTCTATTATTTTTATTAAAATATTTTTTGTGCAACCGTGTGGAAAAAAATACATGTATTTTTTTTCAATAGGAAATACACTGTGCCAAAAAAAATTTATATTCATAATTAAATTTATTATTTAAATTTTAAATAATAATAAAAATAATAATAATAATAATAATAATAATAATAATAATAATTTTACATTGAGCAATTGAAGAGTTGAAAAGCAATTGGCCCTTCAATTTATAACTGTTTAAAATTCAAAATGTATATAAAATTTTAAGAAAAAAATTTGTTTGTAGAAATACAATTATTAACATATATATATATATATATACACACACTTGAATTAATATTAATAAACGATTAAATTTATAACTTATCTGTAAATTTCAGTAATATTTACATTGTTATAATTACAAGAATTGTTGATTTTGTATTTAATAAGTTTCACAAATTATTTTTTGGAATTAATAATTTATAATAATTATTTATAATAATTTAATAATTTAATAATTTAATAATTTAATAATTAATTAATAATTTTGGAATATTTATTGGAAATTAAAAAATATCAAAAAAATTGAAAATTAAGTAGAATTTTATAGAAATTCATAAAATAAATATTTCTTTTTTAAAACAATTTGTGATATTTTAAATGATTTTTTAATTTTTTTTTTTTTATAAATTATATTTATTTGCAAGAAGAGTTTTTAACAATGTACATGTAATAGATTTATTGACAACATTGAAATAAAGTGTATTTTTATAATTTCAATTAAGCTGAATTTGTTGCCGCGTTTTGCAGAAGAATTTATATTTTTTAACAGAGTAATGTTTTTTTTTTTTTTTTTTTTCATTTAACGAAATATTTTTAAATATACATATATGAAACGTATAAATAATATTAGCAATAAGAAAATGTCAGTTAACAAAATTTATTATTAATACTCAATCGATTATATTTTGACATTAATAATAATGATAATAACAATAACAATAATAATAAAAATAATAATAATAATAATTATATAATTTTGAAAAAAATGGCAATATCATTGAGTCGATAATTTTTCGTTGTTTTAATATACACTTATCATAATGAATTCTTCTTCCTGTTAATTTATATATTATTAATAAAACCGACTATTTTATTTTTTTTCATTTTTTATTTCCCGTATCATTGAATCGTCACATTTTATCATTAATAATATCACAGTTTGTCTCTCGTTTGCCGGTGGAACGTGATTTTTGAAAGTTACACATTATTTTGTTTTTTTTACCAAAAAAAAAAAAAAAATTTTTTAAATTTTTTTCTTGTCATAATAAAATATTTTTTGTTAACATAATTTATAATCTATTGAGGTTGTAATTTTCTTTTTTTTTTTTTTTACATAATTTTTTCTTCCTATATTAAAATATAAAATAAATATAGTATATAATAAAATTTAGTAAGTCAAAACGAAAAACAACATCTTTTCATTTGAAAATAAAATTAATAATAAAAATGTTTATAATAATAATAATAATGATAGTAGTTATAATTTCGATGAATCTTAAATATATATTGTCTTGATGAAGCTGATTTTTGAAATATATATTTTAGAAATAAAAAAAAAAATTTGAATTTTTTTTTATTCCTTAAAAAAAATATTACAAACGTCAGCTTCATTATTGTCTGATGAAATCCTTTGCATATACAGTAATTTAATATATGCGATAAATTACTATACATGTTTGTGAAATTATTTTGTTAATTATAAAGAGTTAAAATACGAAGTATTATTATTATTTTTTTTTTTTTTGAATTGACAAAGTGTAATATTGTATTGACAAAGTATTTGAATGGAAATTTTTTTTTTATTTTTATTTTTTGGTTTTTTAATTAAGGCAATGCATTATAATATTGTTTGAATTATTGCATATGCAAAATCAGTTCATGTAATATATATTTAATTGACTCCAAGAAGTTGTTTTTGAATAGTGCGTTAATTATAATATTTATATATATATACATATATATATATATTTTTTAAATATATTTATATGCAATAAAAAGCAGTATATTTCAACGAAGAAAGGCATTGTATCCTAAATTTTTTTTTTAGCATTATTGGACGTCTATTTACACAATTTATAAGCTTTTTTTTTTATTATATGCAAGACTAAATGTTACAATTTTTTTTTTATTTTTTGGTTTTGCTCTTCACTCTGTGGATTGTGAAATTTTTTACTTGTTTTTTATTGCATTTTTTATTGCGAAAAAAAAGGAATTTACACGGGAAAGTAGTTGATAATTTTTTTTTTTTTTTACTATTATCAATAAATTTTTTTGTTAACTCTTTCCTGTGTACTTTCTTTTTTTTTTGTTTATAAAGTATATAGGACGTGTGATTTTGAATTATGTAAGAAATATTGATCTGTACATAGTCGTAAAAATTCGCTTGGTGTTTTTTTTTTTTTTTTTTTTTTTTTTTTTTTTTTTTTTTTTAATTTTTTTATTATGATCTCTATATAAAGTCTAGAGAAAAATGTTTTCTTTGAAATAAATCTAAATAGAATATTTTTTTTTTTAGTGATCTTAAAAGCAGCTAATAATTGTAGTTTTTTTTACTGCTAGTTCAAAAATATTTATATATTTTTTTTTTTCAAATAGTGAATGTCAATTTATCGGCCAACCTATAAATATATACGTGATTTACAACACATTACTATTATTCTTTGTTTTTGTTTTTTTTTTTTTTTTATTTTTTAGTTTCTTCTACTATTAACTATATATAATTAATAACAAGGTAATTAGAATTTTTTTTTTGTCTAAGGCTCTGTGTAAATAATTTATAATACTAGATAATATTCTCTTTGCCTCTTATTTTTAATGTAATTATTGTATTGTTTTTTTTATTCGGCTTGATAATTTTCTATAATTATGATTTTTATTTTTTTTTCTTCTAAAGTTCTAGTATTTAAATATTCGTTTAATTTTATTGTATAGCTTTCAAACGATTCACATTTTTGTTCAATAATAATTTTACGTGAGCCCTTTTTTTTTGAGGTAAATATTCCTGGTCGATCGGTGTTTTTTTTTTACATTCTTGACGATATTTATTTGTTCCTTTTAAAATCAGAATGTTGTCCTCGTTTTTTTTCTGTAACATTTTATATTTTTGTTATTTTAATTTTTTTAAACTTCGCGCCTTGTAAAACGATCGATATTTCGATTTATAATTCGATATATTCGAGATAATATTTCGATACATCGAAAATAAAACGATATATTCGAGATAATATTTTGATATATCGAAAACAATTCGATATATTCGAGACAATATTTCGATATATCGAAAACAATTCGATACATTCGATATATTCGAGACAATATTTCGATATATCGAAAACAATTCGATTTATTCGAGATAATATTTCGAAATATCGAGAATAATTTGATATAATATTTCGATACATCGAAAATAAATCGATATATTCGAAATAATATTTCGATATATTGAAAATAATTCGATATATTGAAAATAATTCGATATATTGAAAATAATTCGATATATCAATTAATAAAATTTTTTTTTGTATAATATTTTAATCAATTTTTCTTTTTTAATTTTTCTCTGCGAAAAATAGTTACCAGTTCATTTTTCTTGCACTAAATCCATTAATTCGTCGATTGATGAAACGATGTTCGGTCATTTGAATTTGTGTTCTAAATTCAGAGAATATATATATAAGCAGTGATAAAAACCTGCTGATAACAAAAAATATTCACATCACGTTGGAAAAAAAATTTCCCCAATTTTTCTCTGTGTCACCAGGTCGAGCATTTCTTTGGTGGATTCATTTTGGCACCAACAGGACAACGAAATGCTTCAGTAAATGCAAATGAATTCATCATAATGCCATTCACTCTGAAAAATTATATATAAAACAAAAAACTTTTTTTGTAAATTTAATTTACAGAAATTGAATTCAAAAAAAAAATTGTAAAATTAAAAAAAAATTGTTTTTTATAATATACAGTGAAACCCACGTATATCGGATTTCAAGAAAAAAAAATCCAATGTAAGAGGGAATGCGAATTATGCTGGTCCAATATACGTGGGATACGTTGTATTAAATTAAGTTTTAATCCTCAAAATAGCAGTTTTTTTTACCAAGTAATAAAAGAAACTCTATCTTATAATTGTATCAATATTAAAAGAAATAAATATTTTTCTTTATAATACACGTTTACAAAATCGAATTTCATTTGCGAGTGCTTCGTGATCATTAGGGTAAAAATTATTGAAAAATGCAAATATAAAAAATTACCGACATAGAAATCTGCATTATCGACTGATGGTAAAACTGTTTTACCATCAGTCGGTAAGGTAGATTTCTATGTCGGTAATTTTTTTTATATTTTCATTTCCCTGTTTTACCATCAGTCGGTAATGTAGATTTCTATGTCGGTAATTTTTTATATAAATATTTATTTATTTTATTAATAATAAAAAATTAAATTAAAAAGATAAAAAAAAATTGGGAAATTAGTTTTACCTCTCTGGTTGAGGTGTGTGATAATCAAGTTCGACAGAGAGAATGTAGGCCTCGGCAGTCATGTTAGAACAGTAGGTCTGAAATTTTTTTTTATTTTTATTATATAACATGAAAACTTAATTTTTTTTTAAATTACAAATAATAAAATAAATAAAAAAAAATTGAAATGATTTAAATATTTGCAAAAAGTTGAGGGAAAAACTAACTTGAGCGGCACTTATAAAGAAAAGTTGATTGGGACGAAGGGCCTCCAATCCTGGTAAACTTCGATCTTTTCCATTTGTTAAAGTATGCCAAGTTTGATAAG